CATGGAGTTTCCTGCTTGGGCTGGCTTTGAACCGAGATCCTCAGATCTCAGCCTCCTGAATAGGTAGGATTACAGGCATGAGCCACCGATGCTCGGCTTAGAGAAGGCTTTTTTTATTCCACCACCCATAATGGGGTTTGGGGGGCTTCAGTGTTGTCCTGGGAAGCTAGAAAGACAACCAGGAGCTCACAGAAAGGCATTGATTTGGGAAAGGAAGGTCAGAAGCCATGGGAATAAGGACAATAGGAAAGGGTGTGGTTTGCTGATTTGGGTGTATGGCAGGCCAGGACAGGGAAGGAGTTATGGGAGGAGGGGTCAGAGGGAATAAGAGGACCTTGGGTGCATTAGCTCACCTTTGGCTGGAACCTGAGTTGAACATTGGCCTCCTTTTCCTCCTCCCTGGGGAACTTGAAGTCAGATGTTCAGTGTCTGTGCTACATGTTGGTAGCTTTCTGGCCATCTTTTCCCCGCCAGACTGCCCTGAATGTTTCTTCCCAGGACAGTGAGTGATCCCACACTTTGCCATTGTTTGGTCAGGGAGCAACTCCTCAAGCTAATCTAGTCCTGGCCTGGGAGGGGCTTGAGCACCACAAAGCACCATCCTGACTCTTCTGTGGAGGGAGGGGAGGCCAAGATGTTCTTGCTGCTAGCACTCCCAAAGATCTTTTCAAATGACTTATCGTCCCTCCTCATCTCCCCATATCATTTCTACTGGATCACATAGTGGGGAGGAGGGGGTGTTCTACCTCCCCATGTTTCCCAGACACTCTGTCCTGAGGCACATTCTGTTCTCTCCCACATTGCCTTGTTTGTGTAGTTCTTACCTGAACAGCCCCTCTCTGCTAATCTGGCCATATTTAAGACTGTGGGAAAGCAGATCATCCCACTTCTTTCCTACAAATTATTTTTTTTTGGTTCCGGTTGTGGGGAATCCTGGGCCTGGGCGCTGTCCCTCAGCTCTTCAGCTCAAGGCTAGCACTCTACCACTTGAGCCACAGCGCCACTTCTGGCTTTTTTCTTTTTGCTTATGTGGTGCTGAGGAATCAAACCCAGGGCCTCAGGCATGCAAGGCAAGCGCTCTACCACTGAGCCACCTTCCCAGCCCATCCTACAAATTCTTCAACACACCCTGAAAGACCACTTTTTGGTTCCTGTGAAGAGTCTTTTCCATATAGTGTCATTTCCTATTGCCCACTGGGTCTCCATTTGGAGCATTTATGCTTGAAATGACTGGCTTCAGGCTCTGAATCTTAAAAATGAACCTGCTCAACAGGATGGCTATGTCAGGATGGGCTATCCAGAGAGAGAAACCGAACCTATAGTACATGTGTGAGTATGCATTTTTCATGTATAATGCACATCATATATTAGGAAAAATTATTTGAGAATCCTGTTCTAATAATAGGGAGTTAATATCAAAATGTATGAGGAATCCACCAGAATAGCAGAAAACCAAATGGCCTTTGTTATGGTTTGAATATGAAGTACCCCCTGAAAGACTCAAGTGTTAAAGACTGTCTCCAGATGCAGATAAAGTCATTGGGAAGTGATTGGATCATGAAGGCTCTGGCTTCATCAGTGATTGAATCCACTGATGATTCATAATTTGGTGGCATTATTGGGAGGTGGTAGGAAATGGGGCTTGGTTGGAGGAAGTAGGTCACTGCAGGTGTGTTTTGAAGGATAGCTTTTCCCTGATCCTTTCCTACCTCTGGCTTTCCTGGCTGCCACATGTGAGCAGTCTCCTCCTCCGTATGTTCTGGCTACTGCTATGTTCTGCTTTGTTGCAGACTGGAAGCAATGAAGCCAGCCACACCCATGGACTGAGAACTGTGATCCAAAATCAATCTCTCTTCTTCTTTTTTCTTGGTAGTAATGGGGTTTCATGCTTGCTAGGGAGACACTCTGACATTTAGGCCAAACCACCAACCATTCCGTGTGTGTGTGTGTGTGTGTGTGTGTGTGTGTGTGTGTGTGTGTGTGTGTGTGTGTGTGTGCGCATGTGCGTGTGTGTGTGTGTGTGTGTATGTTTGTGTGTGTGTGTGTGTGTGTAATGATACTGGGGCTTGAACAAAGAGCCTCAAGTGCTCCCTTAGCTTTTTTCTTAAAGCTAGTGCTAAGCCACTTGAGCTACACTGCCACTTCTGGCTTTTTGTTGGCTAACTGGAGATGTCTCTTGGATTTGTCTATCCAGGGTAGCTTCAAACTGGGATCCTCAGGTCTCAGCCTCCTAAGTAGTTAGGATGACAGGCATGAGCCATCAGTCCCCAGCTTTTCCTTCTTTTAAATTGCTTCGCTCTGGCATTTGTCACAGTGGTGAAAAATCACATGGTAGGTGTGTGGTTAACTTTTTCATAACTTTTCCACAGTGGTGGCTCCACTTTATAAACTCCCCAGAATTGTAAGACTCTGCAGTCTCCATCATGCACACTAATACTTGGGTCACTGTTTTTTTGTTTATTTTTTATTTTTGTCATGGGGCTTGAACTCTGGGCTTGGGTGCTGTCCCTGCACTCTTCAGCTCAAGGCGAGCACACAGCTTGAGTCACAGCGCCACTTCCTGTTTTCAAGTGGTTTATTGGAGATAAGAGTCTCATGGAGTTTCCTGCCCAGGCTAGCTTTGAACTGTGATCATCAGATCTCAGCCCTCTGAGGAGCTAGGATTATAGGTTTGAGCCACCGGTGCCTGGCTGCGTCACTGTTTTTGTTTTTGCTATTCTAACAGATACAGAATGTTCAGGAATTTGAGAGCTGATTGATTTATTAAACATTAACATATAAATGGAAAGGTAAGTAACTTACATTAAAAATAGATCATTGAAGCCCATCACACCATAATTAACCCAATTTATTATGACTATGTATTGTCATACACCTAATGGCTCTACATGGTGGATCAGTGTTGTAGAGTGAGTGCCACCTTGACTCTCCTGCCAAGATCACCTTCAGTGACATCATGGTGGTAGCTTGAGACTAACCAGAGTGGCAAACCTGTAGTATGGAGATCAACAGCAGCACTTGACTTATTACTGCTTTGTCAGTTGTGTAGACTGAAGCAAGTCATGAGGGAAATGTTTGTAGTGCAGATTAAACAAGACTATCACCTCTGCAGCTATGACATTGTGAACGGTATGAACGTGTAAAGCCCTACCATCCTTGTTGCTGTACTTTCATCTTAGTAAGATAAAAGAGAATGAAAGCTCACACTGCTGTGAAAACCACATTTGCCCATGAGGAAACATCAGGGTGCATACACACATACGTATGTATGGTTCCATTTACTTTCCTGGAAAGTCAGTTGCTGAGATTTTACCAGCAAATAACTGCTTTGATGTAGCAGAGGGCAAGTCACAGCCTGCCTGCACCCCATGGAAACATTGTTTGTCCTAGCCAGTCTGAACAAGCACAGATTCAGGAAGGGTATCTCAGGCCAGCCCACTAGGAGGCCAAGGAGGCCCAGAGTGCTGAGAAAGAGGCGTCCCAGTCCTTACGAGTGGGAGGATGTGAAACTGGATACCTCTCCAGGGAAGAGACATTTCGCAGATTGAGAAGTCCAGTCTGGACCTGAGCCCATTCTGAGCTGCTGAGTAAGAAGGTACTCCTTTGGTACCATCTATTCGCCAGCAAGGCAAGGGTTCCAAGGGTGCCACCTTCTGGTTCCAGCTGTCTGCCTGCAAGCTGGCCAAAAGGAAAGAGAAGCCAGCCCTGCTGAGGCAGTAGATCTGGAAGGTTCTGGGCCCCTTACTTCTTCGGCTCCTCTAAGGCCCAGCTCTGCCCAGCCAGGCCTGGCTCTGTGTCACTTCCTTAGGTGAGTGATCTCATCAGAAGGCTTGGCTATGACAAGACCTTCTGGTTACTGACCACATTGCCAAACTTGCTTCTGTGGGCTTCCCATTACCACACCCTTCCCCATGCCAGGCTGCCTCTCCCTCCAGAACCACTCTAGTCTAGTCTCCGCATAATTTGATTTTGTCCTTCTTCTCTTCCAGACTTCTGTGATTCCCCATCCCTCTCAGGCTCAGCCCTGGCCCAGGCCACATGGACAGTCTGATGTGGCCACTGCCTGTGCCCTGGCTTCATCATCCTGCCACCTGCACGTTGCAGCAGCTCTAGTCATGTTGACCTACTTAAGAGTTCTCCCTACGGGCCTGCTTGGCTCAAGGCTGGAGGCTTTGTTCAAGTGACTCATTCTTGGGCGTGGTCACCCTACCCCTCCATACCTGCTCTGGCATTCAGTGACACAGGTCTTTCGTTGCCTGCCTCCCCACAAAATGGTAGTGCCTTGGGGTGGAGCCCCACAGGCAGGTTAGCCAGCAATCCCAAAATCCAACCCAAGTGGATGGTAAGAAGCTACCCTCCGCAGCACAGCGTCACAGCCCTCTGAGGTCTGTGATCCCTGGAGCTAGCCCTCTGCCTCAGGTCAGCTCAGCCTGGACTGCCTGGGTGGCCCTCTTGTGGCATTCATGTGCCCTGCTTGTATCTAGGGAGTGGTGCCTCCCTCTCCCTAGTGCGTCATGTCGTGTCAACTCACCATTCCCACTTCACAAAGCAGGGCCCCAGAGAGCAAGGGCTTGAGCTGGGCTTTGTATCCAGGCAGGTGCCAGCTCTTCAGGCTCAGCTCCCCTCCTGCCTCCCTCCCTGGTACAGATTCAGCTGCTTATTCCCAGGCCCTAGTCATTGATCTCCTGGGCCTCTGGAGCAAGGACAACACTCAGGGTGACAGGAGACTTGCCAGGGAGATGGCCAATGGCTCAGGATCTGAACTATCAGCCCTCTAGAACAGCCTGAGCACTGACGTCTCCCCCTCCCCTGTGCACCCACAAAGCTCACCCTGTAAGAAACCAGTGGGACAATCTGGGGACTCTGCTCTAGCCTGACATGGCTCACTGTGAGCCCTAAGCAGGATGATGGGGTACATGAGCAGGGAGCCTGGCCCCAAGAGTCTGGTCACTAAAGCCAGCTGGTGAGTAGTTGAAGACGTTTATTTTCAGCCACAGGGAAAAAATGGAAGCCTTGAAGCAGCCATCTGCTGAGAGAAGGCGCTAGGGCTCCACGGCCAGTGAGGTTAGGGCTGGGGAATGCATGCTGTGTGCTGGGGACGAGAAGCAAGGTTCTGGTCGGCAGCAGCTCGCAGCCTCAGCATGACTGCACAGGCAAGCTTGCACTTAGGCCTCAAAGCTCGGGCCATCGGGCAGCACATACATGGGCTCAATGTGGGCCCAGCTGCGGGCCTGCTCATCTGCCCAGGCAAGCAGTTCAGCAGCACGGTGCAGGAAGATCAGGAGCAGGGTATGCACATCGCCCTCCGCTGAGTGGGCCGCACTCGGCTGAGCATGGAAATAGCGGTGGAAGAGGTTGCTCAAGCTGTAGCTCTTATGGCCCTGAGCCCGGGTGCCATGGCTGTGGGCACGGTCCAGGCCCCGCAGTGCTGGTAGCGTGTCCAGGCAGACAGTGTCCTGGGGCAGGTGAGCACCCAGGCGTTGCAGCTCCGTGCACAGCAAAGGGAAGTCGTAATCAAAGCCATTGTGGGCCACCAGGCAGATGGGGCCCTCCTGGCGGCTCAGGAAGGCCTGCAGTGTCCTCACTACAGCATCATCGAAACAAGCCTTCCGGCACCGTGCCAGACCTTCACTGCTCAGACCAGTAATCTCACTGGCCTTGGCAGTGAAGGGGCGCTCTGGGCACATGCATAGTGTGAGCTTATCCAGGACCCGTGGCAGCATGGGGGTACCAGAGTCATCCCGCTCTGGGTTCTCCAGGGAAGAGCGGTGGACAGCAAAGAGAGATAACTCAGCGATCTCAGGATCCACATTGGGGAGCCCAGTGGCTTCCAGGTCCAGAAAGATGAAGGTCTCAGCCCGGGGTGGCTCCGACATGGTGGTGTTCTCTCACAGCGACAGCAGGGCCTAAGGCTGCCAGAACAAGAGGCATAAACTCGATGGCTAAAGAAATGGGAATATGACAGAAGGGGCGACATTGTCCAGAAAGGGATGTACTCGTTCCCTGGCTTATATAACTGTAACCCCTCTGTACATCACCTTTGTAAGAATAATTTTAAAAAGAAGTGGGAATAACCAAGCTTCTCCCATTACCATGTGCCCAGAACCTTCCTTTTTTGCCTAGAGTAGGTGAGATATATGGGGAATTAGCTTTCTGTGTGCTATCCTGAGCATTGCTTTCTATGTGCAGGTGAGTTGAATGGGAATTTAGTTATGAGCTTTGTAATCTACTCACCTGAAAAGTAAGCAAAATTTACATCTATTCAAAAGAAAACTAGAGGGCTGGGAAGGTGGCTCAATGGTAGAGTGTTTGCCTTGCATGCATGAGGCCCTGGGTTTGATTCCTCAGCACCACATAAGCAGAAAAAGTTGGAAGTGGCGCTGTGGCTCAAGTGGTAGAGCGCTAGCCTTGAGCTGAAGAGCTGAGGGACAGCGCCCAGGCCCCATGACCAACAAAACAAGAAAAGAAGAAAAAATAAATGGACTATGCAGGCTCAGCTAAGCATGGCTGTCCCCTCACTGGCCAAAGCTCTGACCTCTGTAGGTCTTACTTCCTGCCAACCCCCAACTCATCTCATGTGAACTTTAGTTCTGGGAGTAGCTTCCAAGACCCATATCCAGGGACGCTCCACAGGGAGACTCCACAGGCTGGAGGCCAGTGGTCAGGACCTGTTACTTCTACCCTCTAGGATGGAGCCCTCCAAACACCTAACACCCTCTCCTTTCCATCCCTCAAGTCTGCCTCGCCAGTCCCATCCTGCCTATCTAAGGAGTAGCTAAAGGAAGGCCTTCCGTGCCCACTCTGCTTTTTTGCTGATAAGCCCACATCTAGTCACAGTCCCCATCAGGGATACAGAGAGGAAGCCCAAGAATGGAACGGGGGCGCAACTTCATGGGACACTGGCTAAGAAGCCCCAGTGAGGAAACGCTCTGGGTTTTCCACTTGGGACAGAGTGTTGAGAAGCAGGCACCAGAGAAAGCCTGCATAAAGGCCCGTCTCCCCAACCTTCTCCCTCGCAAACAAGCTTGCCCCAAACTGCCCTCTGCCTGCCTCCGGGTTCCCGGCAGCTGTCCTCAGCAACCCCACCACGCTGGCTTACCTGGGGCGGGCACTGGCTGGCTTCCTGGGCTGCTAGGCACCTGTCTCAGCACAGGCTGCTCCAGGCAGCCTTTAATAAGTAGCCATGGTCCGCCCCCAGCCTGCTGTTGGGCAACCAGGAGCCCTGAGGCTGCAGGACCTGTGCTGCCGGCTTGCTGGCCGCCCCCTCTTGAGCTCACAGCCACTACGACACACACCCTGTGTTTACAGACTGGGAAGTAGTCTCTTGCCGCACGCAGGCTTGATGAGGGATCAGCACTGTCACGGGCTGGAGGAACATGTCCTCACAGGCAGCAGGAAGCCAGAACATGGTGGAAGGCTCTGATCTAGCCCTTCCTGAGTTTCCTGAGGGCTAGTCTGTGGCTAGAGGGCCTGCTGACCCAGATTTGGTGCCTAGCTCTATACTGAAGCATAAAGGCAACACGCCCCTTTCTCCAGGCCTTGGTTTCTGCCATCCCTGGGGACCAGGCTGCTCCTGGTAAGGCTGATGTCACCTTAGGAACAACAGAGGTCCATGCTATGCTCAGCCTAGGGAAAGGAAGATTTAAAAAAAAATTTTGATTGTACAGGTGATGTACACAGGACTTACAGTCACATAAGCAAGGCAATGAGTACAGTTCCCTGTGAACAGTGTTACCCTCCCTTATTTTCAGCCACTTCCCTGCCCGCCCCCCAAGTTCATTTCCAATATAGTTTCTAAAGAGTATCACTATTGGATTGGTTCACCCTTTGAACCACTGTTTCTGTGATTCCCCTTCCCTTCCCCAAATCAGATAAACTCATATACAAGACCAAGGATACAGAAATCAAAGCAGTAACAACAGGGAATAAACCAAAGGGGAAAAAAAGAAAGAAGTAACTGCCAACAGTACGCTAAAAGAAACCTCATTTCCATTTCTTGGAGTTCATTTTGATAAGCATCATTTTATGTGGTTGTATGCACCTAGCTATTGTGATCCTGTGCTAAGAATATCCTAATATATCTAGTAATTACAAACGAGGGAAACATACAGCCTATAGGAAGAAAGTTCTTGAAGGACGAGACCTAGGCGTTACCCCAGTGAGCAGGGATGCCCTCTGGGATAGGCACAATGTGGACGCTTGCTATAGTTCTCCCTCCTTGACGGTTCACCTTTCACAAGGACAGGGAGACGGCATCTGTGTCAGAGGTGTAGAGATGATGTCTAACAGCATTTAGAGGAGGCTGCCAGCCAAGGCAAAGAGGCTAAGCAGATAGATACAACATTCCATTGGGCCAAAGGAAGGTTATGAGGCTTGACCCAGCAAGCCTTGTGGGCTATGGCTGAGCAATGTAAAGGGACAGCTAGAGGCCCCTCTGATCCCAGGTTCCTGAAGTTTTTTCTACCCTACCTGGCTCCAGGCAAGGAATACTGTCCACATGGGAGGGTGGTGAGGCCATCTCTGGTCCAGGAAGTGTGTCATCTCCAGAATCTGGCATCCCAAGGATCTAGAACTGTGCTACATGTGGTGGAGGGAGGGGGGGAGACTTCAAGGGCAATCAAGATGCTTCTCCTGCATGCTGCAGGCCATTCTGAGCACTGTGGCCCATCAAGTAGTTGGTTCCCTTGGACAGTGGAGAGCACAAGCCTGCCTGGCCTTCAACCTTCCCCAGCAGTGGTGTAAGGGATTACCTAGGCAGTAAGGGCCTGGCATCTAGCCCCCTGGGTATTTTACTGCCTCTAGGTTCCAGAAGAATTGGGGGGGGGGGAGCAAAATGAACGGACAAGGGCAGGGTGGGGCAAGGCAGGACAGGCAGCTATGGGTGCCACAATGGGCTCACCAGTTGTGCCTGTTCTCGTTGGTGAAGGGAGGGAGGTGGCAGTGACACGCACACTACTCAGAGATACTGGGTCATCTTGGAAAGCCCAGAGACCGGTTTCCTGGACAACAAGTCAGGCCATATCAAGAATTCCCCCAGTGTTGCCAGGTGCCAGTGGCTCATGCCTGTAATCTTTGCTACTCAGGCAGCTGAGATCTGAGGATTGCAGTTCAAAGCCAACCCCAGCAGGCAAGTCCATGAGACTCTTATCTCCAAATTAACCACTGGAAAACCAGAAGTGGTGCTGTGGGTCAAAGTGGTAGAATGCTAGCTTTGAGTAAAGAGCTCACAGACAGTGCCTAGGCCCCACCACCCAAAACAACAACAACAAAAAAAAACCCACAAGAATTCCCCACTGTGGCACCATGGGCAGGGAAGAGCCAACGTGCTGGCTCTCAGGGGCATGGCTAGGAGTGCTACAGACATCCTGGGGGCAGGGAGGGGCTCCTATAAGAGCGTAAGCCAGCCAATGGGAAAAGATGGCATGGGTAGCAAGAAAGGGGGCATGTCAGAGTGTCATGGAGACCTCCAGGTCTAGGTATGGCCCAGTTTAAGCAGGCCACTGCAAGGAATGGAAGTAACAGGGAGAGGGGCAGGGCCGCAGGCCCACTAGCAATACAGCTGGCTGCATCCAAGCTTGCTGTGGATGGGGACATGTGGGGACAGGAAGAAAGAAAGCTGAATAGCCCTGACCAGAGGAAAGCAGAGTAACACAGAATGGCAGAAGCAAACAGTAGGTTTAAGGCAGTTTATTAAGAGCCTGAGACTCCTTTTTCCTGCAGGTTAAGGGGAGAAGCAAATGGGATCATTCCCGCTTCTCCTGTGATGGCTTCAGGGTTCTGTTCCCAGCCTATCCTGTGCCTTTGTACAGGATATCATTGAAGACTTTGTATTTCTGAGTTAGTTCATCCATTTTGCTGACTACAAAGGAAAGTAAAAAAAAAAAAAAAGAACAAAGTTAAATCTAATGCATTCGGGCCTGAAGGAGGCAGAGATAAGCAGTCCCCACTGCCAGGCCACGTCCTGCTTTCCCATCACAACCCTGTGCCCACCACAGATTCCCCTCCAGTCCTACAGGACCAGATGACACAGAAGCCTGGTCCTGAGGGGGGCTTGAAGCCTGGATCCAAAACTTCCACTCTTGATCCAGGAATGCTGAGCTGGGGAGCTACTAAGGCAGTACAGGAGAGGCAGCACCTAGCCAGGGGCCAGGGCATGTTCTATTTTAATCAGACAAGCTATGTGCACATGACATATGAAATGACAGGGAACACACTTAAGGCCTTAGCTGAACAGCACTGCTCTGAAGCCCACCTCATCCTGGAGGCCAATGTGTTACTCCAGCTACTCAGCTCTTGGAAGAGGGGCCACTAAAGTCTGTAGCTACACCTCCTCCTGAGGCACCCACTTCAGACAATGACTACTGGGTGCCAATGAGGGACTTTACTTGCTGTTCTCAACTCCAGAGTTGTTTTTCCTTGGGCATTCCTTTTTTTTTTTTTTTAACAGCTTCTCCTTCCTATGTAACTCACATCTCTGCAGATGGCCGTTCCCTAACCTTGGCCTCCTCTTCCTTTCATTTGCATCTGCACCATTGTGAGTTACCAACCCAGCAGTCCACACTTTCCTGCCTGGGGAGGGGGGCGGGGTGCTTGGTGAGTAGGATCCAGAACCTGAGGGGCTTGACCCTGAGCACTCACAAAACACTACCATCAAGCTCTTGGGGCCACTCCCCAAAACACCCACCCACTGGCTTTCCCTCTTAAACCTTTGGCCCCAGTGTCTGCCTATGGTGGCCTCCATCAGCTCTGGACCCGGTACGTAGAGATGCATCTCCAGTGCTTTCCTTTTCTTTTATGCTCTGAAGACTGTTAACTATCTGGAAACTGCCTGCATAGAACTCAGTCTGTGCTCATTTTTCTCTTTTCTATCTATTCTTATGACATTTATGACCTCCTGTTCCACCTCAATGCTAGGTCCTCAGTGGTCCAGGCCTTTTGGGATGTTATGCTGAGTATGTTTAAAGTTCTCAGGCCAGATTTCCTGCACATCTACGTCTTTTCATGATGTGGGCTGGCATTCTCTCTCTCTCTCCCCCCCCCTCCCCCTCTCTCCCTCTCTCTCTGGAGAGCTCTGGAGTTGAGAACTAGAATCTGGGTAAAGCCAACAGCCTAAGTGCTTCTTTGGTGGCCAGTGCCCCCTTTGTGGTGGGGTTTCTCATGGGTAGGGATTTCAAGACGTTCTGTGGAAGGCAGGGTAAGATGACAGGCAGTCTTTGCTGTGGATGGGATGAGCAGAACAAGGATTAGCCTCAACCATAGGCACCATCAAGAGGTGGACCTTACCTGGGCAGCCATATCAGGAATCTGATTCCTTATTCATTCCTATCATCTCACAAAACAATGGGCTAGGGTCTCACTGGGAGTTCCCAGCTATGCAGTTGTTTCTCACTACAGATATGCTTCAACTGCTTTGTCGCCAGGGCAGCCACTAGGCTGTAGGACCCCAGTAGTTAACTGATTAGTTCCACCAGGCAGACACCTCCACTCCTCCAAGGGCTGTCCTATCACTGTGGCTTTCCTACCTGTGACACCCGTAAAACATTCCCATTCACTCCTGCCTTCCACAGCTATTTATCTGCATTGCCTCTGTGTTGGTGGCCCATTCTCAGCACTGACATGGTTGCTCTGACCCCCTTTGCTTTTATATTTTGACTCTTCCATGAATAGACACAAACATTTTCAATAAAATACATGCATACTGAATTCAACAACACATCACAAAAGATCGTACCATGATCAGGTTGTTTTCATCCCAGGAATGCAAGGATAGTTCAACATATTTAAATCAATAAGTACAGAGAATGAAAGACAAAATCATACGATCATCTCAATGCAAAGAACACCTCTGACAAAATCCAAAATCCTTTTATGATAAAAACTCTGAAGAAACTAAGAAAAAGAAGGAATGTAATAACATAATAATGAAATAAAGAGTATCTACTCTTTCCACTCTTGTTCAATATAGTGCTTGCATTCTTAATGTGAGAAAAAGCATCTTTCTATCAAAGTAGATCACTTCCTTTCTGACAATCTTGTGAGAATTGTTTTTCTGAAAAGTTCCTACTTTGCCAGGCGGCTTGGCCCTTAATTACATTTTAGTTTCATCCTTTTCCTGCTGTACTTTAA